GACCTAGAGGTTTTTATCGTAAGTGAAATAATTCAAACAAAAAACCCCAAATAACCATATGATTTCACTTATATATGGAATCTAAAACACAAATGAACAAAAAGCAGAAATGCTCATAACTACAGAAAATAAATGGGTAGCTGTCAGAGGCAGATGGGGGGACGGGTAGAACGGTGAAGGGGGGTAGGAGGTGCAGGCTTCCGGTTATGGAATGAATAAGTCACAGGGATGAGAGGTAATATAGTCAATGGTATTGTTATAGCGTGTGGTGACAGATGGTGGCTACACCTGTGGTGAGCATAGCATGTGTACAGAGTTGTTCAGGTTGTACACCTGAAACTAATGTAACACTGTGTGTCAACTACACTTCAATAAAAAATATAATAAATATATTTTTAAAAAGGTTAGATAATTAAATTCATCCAGTAGGTCCTAAGAAAGTACTTGTGGGTAGCACAATTGAGACGCTTACAGTCTTTATTCTACAGTTACTTTAATATGCTAGGTTGGCATTTATTTTTAAATGGGCTATAAATAATTTTCTCTCACAATTACAGTTAACAATGCATTTGTGGAATTTTTGCTTCCTATCCCTGTGACCTTGAGATCTACTAGTTTATATGTCTTGGTTTCTAAGGGAGACAGGATTCCTCCAGAGAATACAATGGCTCCATCATTGTGGAAACTGACATGGCCTTATGGCCATTTGGGGCTCATCATGCCGCTGAACCAATAGGCAAACAGGTTGGATGGACTGAATCCCAGTATCAAATCACTGTCATACAGCGGGGTGAAGGAGGACCACATCTGAACCAGGGGCAGCTTTAACATGAAAATTAGTTTGATGGAACATTGAGACAACCCCAAAAAGGCAAGACCACCAACTATCCAGACAGCTCAGGAATGGTAAACTGAATCGTTCGACCAGGTAAAGAACCTCGAGTAGGCAGATGCTGGCTGAAGACAGGAAGATCATAGAATGGGCAATAGAAAAATGGTTTTTTAAAAATATCCGCTTGGGGTACCTGGATGGCTCAATCATTAAGCGTCTGCCTTTGGCTCAGGTCATGATCCCAGGGTCCTGGGATCAAGCCCCGCATCGGGCTCCCTGCTCCACGGGAAGCCTGCTTCTCCCTCTCCCTCTCCCCCTGCTTGTGTTCCCTCTCTCATTGTCTCTCTCTCTGTCAACTAAATAAATAAAATCTTCAAAATCAATCAATCAATCAATCAAAATATCCACTCAACTCAGGAACAGCTAAGAATCAAGGACCATCCAGTGCTCATCACATCACGTGATGTTATACACAACTAAGGAATCATCGAACACTACCTCAGAAACTAATGATGTACTATATGTTGGCTAACTGAATTTAAATAAATAATAATAAAAAAAGAATCAAGGACCATCTGGGAAGGTTGGTGGTACTATTGTAACTTTACAATAGAACCCTGCTTTATCCTGGAGTAGATTTCTTATGGACTATTTTTGGAAAATGCTATTCAAAGGAACTCAGGGCAAAATATTAAAGCAAAGTCAAAAAACGAGTGACAAACTAAGAGATTAAATGTTACAAATAAGAAGCGTCACTCTAGTAGCAATAAACAAACATAGTGCAGGGATTAGGGTTCCTGAATACCATTCCTTACTAAAAAGACCAGGGTTCCTTAAAGAATAGCTAGTTCCAAGTCTAGAGTGAGAAAGTATAAAGTGAGCCTGAAACACCTCGCTGTACCTCGGAGTAAAAAAGTGTTTCCAAAATGATAGGAACACACAAGACATTTAACCTGAAGAAAATCCCAATAGCCAAAGCTGATAGGACTTGAGCATCACATAGAAGAATTATGGTTACAGACTAGACTGTATTTCAATTAAAAAGAAGGAAAGAAACAGGAGGATGGAGGCTCAGGCTAGGTCTTTGAGAATTGGTAAGAGACAGATGGAGAAGAAAGAGGATTAGGTCAGTATGAACAAACAAGGACCTGTCCAAGAAGAGGACAGATTCAGGAGACTGAAGTGGGGTGGGGGGTCAGGGGCAGGTATGGATCCATCTAGAGTGGCAGGTGCATGGGGGGAACCAGGAAGTTTAACACTCAGGGGTTTGGGCCATGTGTCAGTGGTCTGGGACCACGAATGCCAGTCTGAAGACTTGACTGAGTCTAGTGGCAATGGGGAGCCACTGCAAGCTTTTGAGCAGAGGGGGTTATAAGAGATGAAGAAACGGGTATTTCTGGAAGGTGCCTCTGGCAGCTCTGATGGAGGACAGAGAAAGGAGGGGTGAGATGGAGGAGGTCTTTGCAGGGGGCTGAGGAACGACGAGTCGGGGCCTGAAAGAGCCTGGGAATAGGTAAGAATAAAAATGGCTGAAATGAAAGAAAGCACTTCGGAGGATGGATAGACAGAACTTATTCCTTTGTCAGAGGAGAGAGTCGGTGAGTGAGTTTCTGTGCTGAAGAGCCGGGAGGATGGTGGTAGCGTGGAGCTGAATATGCTGGGCAGAGAACTGGTCTCCCCTGTTCTGAATTGGCTTTGACTAGGTTGATTGTGAGACCTTAGCACTTTGACGCATCCAAACCTTGAAAGGTTAAGGGAACGTCCCACGTGGGGGGTGGTGGTGTTGCTGGCCCTTCTCCACCAGTCCGATCTCTTACAGACCTCAGGTAAAAGGAGGGCTCCAGTGTGTTCCTGAAGCCCCTGACGATGATTGCTTGTCAGAGGATTTTATGATGCTCCAAAGATAATGCCCAGAATCTTCTCCCTGGGGCGTCCCCGTGGGCTCCTCTGACTGAGCGTGACATCAACTCCTGACTGGGCCAGAAGAGAATTCTCAAGACCTGACTCCGGGGCGGGCTCCCACGGATGCCTTTCTCTGTCACCCTGCAGCGAAGCTGGACAGGGGCGCTCTCTGGTCTGTGGCCAAGCGGCCTCGTGGGGCGCCGGCCACCCTCTCTGCCCAGCATTCTGGCCTGGCTGGACAGCGCCGGCCCTGAGCCCCCATAGCGAGCTGGCTTCCCAGGCAGCCTTCCTCCCTGCACGCTTGGCATTCATGTGGCCTGGCTATAAATTATGCCCAGTGTGTTCATTTTCAGCTTAAATGTGTTCTCATCCCAGAGGAGCAACTAATGGCGTCAAGTTACTGATGTGCAAAAAGCCTGCCGCTACGATGACTGGATTAATGAAATCACAGTCATGGTGGCTGGGGTGGCTGTAAGTCGTCAGCCGCGGGTGACACGGATTTAACACCATGCTCCCCGTCCCCTCCCCCCTTGCCCCAAATTATTTTGTGGTAAAGATGCTGGGTCAATGTTTACCATTGCTTGAACGTTTACTTTCTATTAGAAGCCCGTGCAAGCTGAGCCCCTCGGTCCTAAGGGAACCTTCTCCCACACAACGGGAAGGGAGCGGGGAGGATTTAAAAGCCTGTCACGCCTTCTCTAGCAGGCGGAAGGGCAAATCGCTTTATCCAGGATCATCATTGGCTGATAAATCTCACTCTGAAAATTGGCCAACACAGGGTTCTAGCAGTGAGTCCTGCTCATTTGGCCTGTGAGGGACTACCCCTGCCTCCTGATACAGTTTTTCTCTTTCCCTAATGAATTTAAAATGTGTAATTCCCGTAAGTGATTCTGAAAGGTAGCAAGTCTATTTCTCATTAGACGAAGGGGAGTCCACTGACAGACAACGGGCAGTTCAAGGGTCCCTGATCCTAAGAGCAAATTGTTGGGGTGGATATGGTTTTCTAGAAAGAAGGTCTATGAATTTCATCCAATTCACTGAATGTTCTGGAACACCAACACGGGACTGCTATGTGGATCGCCTTGATGGTCACATTATCTTCCTCTCCACAACCCCATGCCGTGCAATAGGATGACTGTGAGGAGGCTCTACCCACCCTCCATTCCAGGCTGGCCTTGTGCCTGGCTTGGTCCCGTGGGATATGGGCAAATGCAATGCCAGCCGACACAGGAAGTGCTTGCGTACTGAGGCCTGCCTACTTCCTCTTCCTGGAACCCTGCTGCCACATGAACGAGACTGGGCCAACCCAGTGAGCTGCGTGACCCTGTCACACTCCTTTCCCCAGCTGACCCACCGGCAACTGCAGGCAATGAGCATACCCAGCCACGGTCAGCCATGCCTGGGCCAGCAGAAGCCGACAGAAAGCCTGCAGAACGCACCCGCGTGCCGGACACTGTGCACATTTCCACGATCAAAATGATCGCCAGGCGTGTGGCACATCGACTCCAGCTTCTGGCGGTCAGCCTTCTCTGCCGCCAAGCGAGGCTGGTTCCTTCCGGCTTGAGCAGATGCCCCTGTGTCATTCTGACAGTGGCCTGCGCCCCACGTGGCCATGGGGCTCCTTCTGTGAGGGCAGGGCAGATCCCGGGGCCTGGGGAACAGGACACCACCCCCAGTAAGTACCTCCTTTCCTTGCTTGTAAAATAAGGTGGGGGTGACTGGAGCCTCCCTCATTACCGTAATTACTGCCTGAGCCCATCTAAGCAGGAGGGACGAAACTGCTCACAGGGTCACGGAGCCATAGAAGAAATCACCTCCTTTTTCTTCCCCCAGAGGAAAAATTTCTCTGAATTTGAATAACACAGAAAGGTGGAAAAGTGGGTAAAGAGAGAGGAAGAAGAAACAAAAATATCCGTTTTGAGCTGGGATGCAGGATAATGGAGCTTCGGGGTGCGCATGTCACCTGGTCAAACCACAGATATAGGGAATTACGGAAAAAAACTCCAAGGAAAGAAAAAGCATGACATGTACAAAATGGTACAAAATGCACAGAAGAGTCACAAGACATTTGAAAAAACATTTTTTCTTTTCCATTAAGACTTCCTATGCTTTTCTAGTAACACCTAAAATGACTTCTTTCTAGGATTCAGGACACCACTTTTTGTATTAGAGATGTATTTGGGAGTAAATAAGGGATGTACATGTCACCACAACTAGTAAAGAAAACATCTGAAACTCCGCTTTCTTGACAAAATAGACAATAAGCTTTTGCTTGTGAAAACACTGATTTTTAATCCAATTATCCCCACAGATAGCCAAAGAGAAAGTTACAACTTATTCTACCATGCTTTTAATAGAACTTTCCATCCTTCATGTTGAGAATGTTGAGATCTTAAACACTGAAGTCAACCAATGAGGAAGCAAACAATTACCAGATGGTATTTTCAACCAAATTTTGTATATTTCTTATAATTGTGCTTCTCTACAACGAGTGATTCTTGTGGCTGGCACACTGTATGTCTGCCTTTGTTTACCTACATGAACAGAGAATCACATTCCCAGTAGGGAGGCTTGCACAACAGTGTAGAGTGTGTGACCTCTATATGACATTCAATAAGGGTAGAAGCTGTCCTTCCCTCTGACTGCACCCCTTAGGATGCTCTTATGTTGGCGTCACATTCTTCTAAAAGTAGGATCAAATCTTCAATCAGGCTGTGCTCTCTGCCGTGGGTCACTCTCATAATATCAAAAGCCTAAAGGAAAAAGAAAGAAGATGGATTATGTTAGAGTAGGCAGTTAGTTAGGTTTTAACAGGATGCCTGGAGGCCCATAAAGGGGGAGTCATGGGCAGCTATGGGGGAGGGGGGTGGTTAGAGACCTATCCTGGCAACAGTCCAAAACAGAGCCACAAGAAGCTGGATCAAAGCAGACAGGCCCAAGACAAAAAAGGCTGGAAACCCTGACCTAGTAATGGAGAAAAGTCAAGAAACACTGCTCCCAAGAAAGCCACTCCCCGAGTTAACAACTGTCAATAAGATAGAGACCCAAACCCCAAGGCAAGCAGCTCTCCCTTGAGCTGGCCAGAGCTCACATCTCGCGAGTGTATGCTCACTTTAATAAACTTACCTACTTGCACCACTCAACCATTGTCTGGTCTGTCCTTGAATTCTTTCTTGCAGTGAGACCAAGAGCCTTTGGCAACACCCTGGGGATGGGCTGGGTGGAGGTCTCAGGGTCTGGGGTGGTGCTCCCCAGTCTCCCCGGCAACATCTTGATCCCAAAGTAGGTGGGCCCCTGCCCACTCATCTTTGTCCTGTGATCCTAGTGCAGTGAACTCCACAGTCCCTAGTGAGAGCAGCACTGTGGTTCCCCAAGCCACACAGTAAGGAACAAGGTGAATGTTATGTTTTTTTTAATGTGATGTTTGGAGAGTGTGCTCATGACTTGAATCCCACTGGTATGTGGTTTCCAACAATGATCTTCAGGGGTTGTCAGTGAAGAGGTTCAGTGGGTACTCAGGATTAAGAAGAGCTACTAAGAATGATTAAGTAATATTAAAGATGAAATATCATGCTGCCACCAGACTTAAAATAATATTTCATTTTTGCATGATGCATTTACTTCTCATCTTTTTGCACTGTGATTTTGATGTGTATATTTTTGTGTATTCTTTTCATGTCCTAGGACATTAAGCATCAGCATTTTGACAATCGCTTCCTTCACTCTACATGTTTAGTAGTCCATCACTAAGTCTTATCAGTTCTGCCTCCATAATATTCTTGAAATCTGGGTGGGCCTGTGACCACTTCAATAATAAGAGAACAATATAAGGAATGCTATTGACTTCCAACGCTATTTTAAAAAGGCCTTGTTCACGAGCATGTTTGCTCCTGGAGTCGTGAGTCTCCGTGCTGTGAGAACCCCAAGCCCAGGGAGAGGCCATGTGTGGGCCTCTGGTGGACAGTCCTCACTGAGTCCATCTTCCAAGTCATCCTGGCCTACACACCAGAGATGTGTGTAAAGAAGCATCCGGGGGCCCCTGGCCAGCCGGCTCAGTCAGAAGAGCATGCGACTGTTGGTCTCAGGCTCGTGAGTTTGAGCCCCATGTTGGGTGTAGAGATAACTTAAAAATAAAATCTTAAAAAAACAAAACAAAACAAAAAAAACAGGGCATCTAGATGACTCCAGCCACTAGCCAGAAGGGAGCCAGATTCCAGTCTTCCCAGCTGAAACTCCCGACACTGTGACAAAGAGGCAAGCCATTCCTATCGTGATCTGTTTGAATTCCTGACCCAAAGGATCTGTGGGCATAATAAAGTGGCGGTTGTTTTACTCTGCTAAGTTTTGGGAAGGCTTGTTACAGAGCAATGATATTTTTGCAGTCAATAAATCAGAAACAAACAGTATCATCCTGTACCGCCCACTAGGGGGCTAGCGGGAAGGGAGGACAGAGCCACGGCACTGAATGTGCAGGTGCCTTCAGGAGATAAGGGAAGACATCACTTGGCGGTCATTAAGCACCCACCCAGATAAGTTCCTGGCATGCAGGCTCTCGGCCTTGGCTGCACAGTATTATCAACCAGGGAGCCTCAAAAGAGACACCAACGCCCAGACCCCACACGTGTGATTCATGAAACGTGCCCTTGGGGCTGAGAATGACTGATACAGTAGCTCTCGACAAACAAGAGCAGCTATTTATTATTCAATGTTAATTTATAGCCAGCATAACTACCACTTTAATGGTTGTGTACAAGTAATTCCATCATGTTTACAGACCCTCATTCATTCACTAAGCTACTCTCGGAAATGTAGATCACTTCTGATTTTTAACAAAAAATGACATGATGTAGCTCTTCCAACTTATGACATTTTTTGCCTTTGTGGAATATTTGCTTAAACTAAATTCCTAGGGACTCCTGGGTAGGAAGAGCTTTGCAGCCAGAGACTATGGAGCTGGGGAGCAATATGGTCACATCCTCAGAGCTCTTCATTCTGTGGGGAGGAAACCCAGGGCAGCTCAGTGGTCAGACCCAGGACTGTTTTCCTTGCCTGTGTTCCTGGCCTCTTCCCTGCCTCTTTAAAAAGTCCTCTGTAGTCTGGAAGGAGGGCAAATAGGCAGGCAGAGGGGTCTGGATGTAGGGAAGGGAAAGGAAGAGGAAGACCTGCCTGCTCAGGCTCTGGTCTCCAGCCTGAAAGAGAGCAAGCATGCACGGAGTCCAGCTGTGACCTGCAGACAGGTAGGCCCGTCCCCTGGTGACATGCCAGCTGGCAAACTCTGAAGGTTCTCATGAACTTGAGTGGGGTGGCCCCCTGGGTGTATGGTGTCCACAAGCACATGGCGGGGGTGGGGGGGCGCTGTCTACCACCTTGCCGGCGGCAGCCAGCCTCCATGGGATCCCTCCCGACAGAAGATCAAAAACAAATCTGGGAACAAATGTGTCCTGTTTCATCCCCTCCCCCCACCCCCCGGGGCACAACTCTGGGTCATCAGTCGGTCCGGACACATGAAGGTCTGAGGCGGAGAGCTGCTCGAAAGCAGGACGGTCGTGAGAGTAGACAGCTGCTTCAAGTCCGTCACAGGAAATCCTCCTACTTGAAAGCTCTCTTGGATGTTCTCTTCCCTTCTACTCAGCAGCAGATGTCAGATGTCTCTGGGATCCGGCTGAGGAAGATGAATGGGCCAGAAGCACTGCCTAAAAACATCTTTGCATAAAGGGAAATAACCCTCCATGGGACCCCCACTAACAGGGAGTCCAGAAAAAGGTCAGGCCCGACCTGGGAGAGCTCACCTCCATCCCTGTCCCTCATGGAAACCCTCTGCTGGATTGGGACCTGGCCTTGTTGCTCAGGAGGATGCCCCGACTAGCTTTTTGTGCCCTCCTGGCCATATTTCTCCAGTTTCCTCACCTCAAGGATATTCTGGACATTTGACTCAGAGGCTAAATGACAAAGGTCATCTTCCTAGCACTCCAACAAGGTAAGGTGGATTTGCATGTGTTTAAACCTTCCTTTCCGCCTTTCTTCCAGTTGTAAGTTTCACTTTCTTCCAGCTTTAGAAATCAGGTCTGGTCCTCAAGAGCTGAAGTTAATTGTGGCTGATCTATAATCTTAGTACTTGTCCTTCAGCAGGATAAGAGCCTGAGCCTCTGTAGGAGGCTTCTGGAATTACAGAACCTTCTGGAATTACAGAGTCACAGGCAGAAAGGGGAAGCTGTGTGGCTGTCCCCAGGCCTCACTCCCACACTTCCATGCCCGCTTCCTTATGGAGGGGCCACGAGGACCATAGGGTCCAGAGTCCTCACGGTACAGCCTGAGAGGTGGGGAGAGGGTGAGCGCTGACTCTTCAGGACTCAACCCGGGGCTCCCTCCATGACAGCACTGTGCAGCCTCCTATAGGGGAGGGACCCGAGTCTCCCCTATACCTAGACGTGGCTTCTGAGACACCCAGAGGGATCGCAGGATCTTCCCAGTCAAGATGCTCTTGATGGTGCTCTGTGTTCTCTTATTTGGTGGTGAACACAGCCTTGGAAGCAAAGGCGAGGGCAGGGGGCGACCCCTGAGCATTATGTATAAGATTTGAGACACTAAGATTAGAAGATTTTATCCATGGGGGTGGCTAGAAGCAGAGAGGACCCAGAGGGTAGAGCTAGGGCACAGGATCAATTTGAAGAAACTGAAAAAACATCAACATCATTCATCTAGAAGGTGAAACTAAATATAGATACACTTAAGCAGACATGATCATTTTATGAGTGATGGGGGAGCAGAAGAGAACAGGAGAGAAAGGAAAGAAAGAAATAGAATTCAGTAATGTGCAAAGCCTGGCAGTGACCATCTTCCGTATGTGTGCGAAGGATGTCTCTCCCCGGGGGGACAGGAGGTGAGTGGAAACGCAGACCTGCTGATGCAGGATATCTGGTCCTTGTCTTGGGCGTCAACCGGCGGACAGGTGAGCTGGGGCAACAGTTCTCAGTGATGTAGGGCGAGAGCACCCTGTGGCTGTAGGCACAGCTCTCCATGGAGGCTGCAACCCTTCAGTCCAGTGGGAAGAAGAGGGCTTTTTCCTCCAAATAGACAGTAAATCCCTGACAAACCAGAGCAATTGTTTCCTATAGCTCTGCGTCTCCCTTCGCTCAGCCCCTCCCACCCGCCACACGCACATGTCAGAAAGGACAATTTTGGTTTCATTTCCTGCAGGAGCATATAAAACAGATTAAGGAAATATAAATTTGGAGCCGGCTTGCACTGGGAAAAGCTTATCTCTTCCCGTTACATTTGATTTTTTTAATAGCAGCATTTAAAAAGAGCCTCCACATAATCTTCGGTAGAGGACTCATTTGAAGCCTCCAAAGGGTCTGCTACATCGGGTATGGACTCTAAATGTGACACGAGAGATGGTGGCACTGACTGTCTGCCACGTGACAGGCGTGTTTCATTCTGGAATAAAGACAGGGTCCCAGAACTGACTGCAGTCTTATCACATCTTTTTAAGTAATTTTAAAATTGTGGTCTTATATTAAATATGTGAAATCATGATTTAACATTGCAAACAATAGCCCACTTATTAATTTTTAATACAAATATATTAAGCTTATCAGGGATCTCATATACTCTCTACCATGAGCCCGAGGGGATCCAATAAATGACTTCCCCAAGCATGATTTAAATATGGATATACAATGAGAGGGAAAAGAAATGTATGCCTGATAAGTGCAAGAGGGAAAAATCCAAGTTTTCTTACTCTGCATGTCTC